AAATGAATAGTTTGTTTATATGATATATAAATAAATCGAGCCCAATTTATCTGTGTGATACATGTAGATATCTGTAGGATACAATTGTGTTGTTTGTACTCGTAATATACATTTAGTCATGTTTTAATAAATGGTTTGAATATATTATAACATAATAATAATATACATTAAGTCAAACATTTATTATAAAGATAATTGGTATTTCCCTGAGGTTGGAAACGTGCTGTTCCTGTGGCTGAGAAACCCTCCTCCTGAGCGGTGCCCTCGGGCTGTTGCTGCAGGCGTTCACTGTGTGTCCCCGTAGGGAGGACCAGGGAGGAGCCGGAAGGGCATCACTTCGATTCCCAGCCCTGATTCCCAGCCTGTCCTTGCTGCGGGGGATGATGTAGACCCATCGGTACCAGGGGCCCCATCCTAACCTAATGTGGAGGGAAGCACGCGGGGCTCCTGTGCTCTGCGTGTCTGGGACATCATGGCTGGGTGTCCCTCTTCCCGGATGCCTGCTCGTGTGCAGGATGCACTAGGCTGGAAAGCCACCACCGGCCTCCTGTTGAAAGGAGGCACTGTGGGTTGAGAAAGGACAGGGAGCTTTAGCTCTGGGCATCACCTTCCTATTGTGTGTCCATCTGTCTATTGTGTGTCCACCTGTCTATCACCTGTTCATCTATCGTGTGTCCATCTATCAAGTCGTGTTGTCGGTCATGTGTCCATCTGTCATCTGTCATCTGTTATCTATTGTCGTCTGTCATGTGTCACATGTTGCTTGTCGTGTGTCACGTTGTGTGTCATGTGTCGTGTGTCGTCTGTCTGTCGTCCTATATCAGTTCCCACTCCAGTACCCTCCCCTTCTCCATAGGCAACTGCATTTTATGGTTGGTGTATATCTTTCTAGTTGTAAGTGTCCTTATGAAACATGAGCATTGCTTGGGTGTGTTTTCATTTACCTAAATGGTCTGATGCTGTAGATAGGGTGACCATATGTATTAGCCTGGGTTCTCCAGAGAAACAGGAGCAATAGGAAATATTTATATATGTGTGTGTAGCTATATGTAGGATATTTCTATTTATATATGTATGTGGAGATATTTATATGTAATACCATATATATGAGATACAGTAATACCTTGGTTTGTGAGCATAATTCATTCCGGAAACAAACTACTACTCGTATTGCAAGACATCGCTGGTTTACCACATTAAAATGTATTAGAAATGTTTGCCAATCTTGCGGAACACTCGCAAACCAAGTTACGTGCAATCCAAGGTTTTACTGTGTATGCATATATACATAATAAGACATGGCTCATACGATTATGGAAGCTGAAAAGCCTGGGGTCTGTACACAGCCAGCAAGCTGGAGACCCAGGAGAGCCGATGGTGTGAGCTCCGGTCCGGCTCCAAGTCCAAGGGCAGGAGATGACCAATGTCCCAGGTCAAAGGCCAACAGGCAGAGACAATTCTTTCTTACTCGGCCCTTTATTCCCTCGGCCTTCAGTGAACTGGATGAGGCCCACCCACACTGGTGCTTGACTCAGCCTCCTGAGTCAGATGCTCATAGATGCTCCGAAATAACGTTTGAACAAGTACCTGGGCACCTGTGGCCCAGCCCAGTTGACAACGTAGAATTCACCAGCACACCACACATCCTGGTTTGCCTGGGACAACCCAGCTGCCGCCCCACCGGGTTATGAACCGGACCCTGCCTGCCAGTGTCCTCACTGTCCCCACTCAGGGATGTAGCCAGTCCCTGTTTACACACCACAGCTCTGCATGGTGTCAGGACAGGCACCGTGGGAAGGGCCAGCTCACATCCCCTTCCCACGGGTATCACAGTGGGTTTGCGAGGCCCCGGGGCATGTGTGTCCCTGCACCCTCCGCAGGGCAGCCAACATTAGGGGCTCTTCATTGTCGTCAGTCCGACGGGGTGAGTGGTACGGAGAATTCTCACTTGCTTTTCTCTCATTATGTTTGAGCTTCAGCATCTATTATACTTTTGTTGTCCATTTAGCTTTCTTCTTCTCTAGGCTGCCTGTTCACATCCTTTGCTCATTTTTCTATTGCATTCCTGTCTTTTTCTTGCTGATTTGCAGGAACTTCTCGTATCCTCTGAGCAGTAGCTCCTTGTCTATTTCAAACCTTGGAAACTCCTCTTGCTCTGTCAGCGGGATGCTGACTTGTTCATGGTGTCTTTCGTTCTGATGCAATCGGAGCCATAGGTATTTCACCATAAGGTTTGTGCTTTTGAGGTGTTGTTTAAAAAGTCCTCCCGCCCTCCCGCTGGGGAAGCGTCTCCTTCCATGTCGTCTTCACATCGTCGTGTTCCTTTCCATTTCAGTGTTCATTCACCTGGAATGCAGTTTTATTTCTTTAAAAATAAAACTTTAACAAGAAAACATGACAAAATATTAGTTGTCAATTTGGGATAGTGGAATCAATGTATATTACAGTGCTTTTCTGTAATTTAACACTTCTGAACTTTTAAGATTTCTAAAAATATTGAGGTCATTGTGCAAAATATGTACAGATAATGTCAAATAAGAGGACAACCTGTGCTGGCACAGCACTAGTGAGACTCTTCTGTGCCGCAAGTCGTGTGTGCACCCGCGTGTACACAGGTGGAGTCACAGCACACATTCTTCATTAACAGCTCATCGCTTCCTGAGCGCATTTCCTGCCAGTCTTTGTGGCACTGCAAGGCGTTTTCTTTTTCAAGAGGGAGAGCTGGCTTTGCCCTGGAGCTGTCTCTCCCTCCCATATTTAACTCTAGACGACATCAAGTTTCGAGTGTTCCCTATCAGAATCGGTTCACACTGGCCAGCTGTCACCTGAAGAATTCTTTTCCCCCCTGGCCTCCTCCCAGGAAGCTGGACTGGGCACTGTCCAGGTGTCTGTCACTGTGCGGAGGGCCCAGAGCAGCCGAGGTGCCAGGTGGGCTGACTGTCACAGACCACTTCTAGCCAGCTCATCTGGATGATAGCATAACAACCATTCAGATCCAGGTGAAGCCAGCACAAACCAGATGGAAGCCAGTGAGGGCAGACGCGGGTTCCATGAGGGAAGAACTCTAGGCATGGACCTCCTGACTTTGTCCACTCCCTTTCATTATGTGGCACCTCCCCGGGTCCCACTGAGCCCACCAGAATCTCGTCTCTTTCCCAGGCCTTACGTCACATGGGTTTGCACCTGCCTTGTTGGTTGCTGCTGGTGAACTATTTCTTAAGCTGTCTTTGGTCATTTCATAATTATTGGGAGGAAGAAGACTGATTCTGTGATCTGTGGTCAGTGCAGAATCCTTACTCAGAAGGCTTCACTAACACCTACACTGCTCTTCACTAAATATCATTCCAGCCACCTCTGAAATCTGACATTTCTGAGTAGCCACATTACAAAAAGATGAAATTATTGGGTTGTCAGAAAAGTCATGACACATTTTTGCAACGAAAAACATAGAAAAAATACGTCGTCTTTTCTGACAACCCAATAACTTGATTGATAATATAGTCCATTTAACCAATATATTTGAAACGTTATAAATTAACACACAAGTAATAGTTTAAATATTGAAATATTTTACCTTCTTTCTTTTCCACACTTAGTGTCATAAATTCCTTGTGTGGCTCACACTCGTGCAGCACATCTGTTTGGCACAGCTGCATTTCCAGTGCTCATTGGTTACACATGCGACCAGCAGCTACTGCCACGACAGGTATAGAATTAATCAGCATCTTTATTCCCCATCCAATCCCCCTCCCCCTGCAACGCTGAGAAAGACCACCGCCTTCCCACTCCTGCTGCTGAACACCTCCCTACCCACTTATTAAACGGCATCTGTAAAATCTGTACCAAGGGGGAGGCTTTATAATCTCAGGAAAGACACAGCCCTGTGCTGTGAGAGTTTATGGACTATGAGATGCAAGAAGCGTGGTTCTGAAGCCCACACGGGCAGCCGAAAATGCAGGAACCGTCGCCACTGCTGTGAACACGTCATTAAGATGCCTGCAGCTGGTCTTTGCAGTGGCAGATGCCTTTCTCGGGAGGCTCGCCGGGAGGAGAGGCTTAAGAACCGACTCTTCTCTGACCTAACCAGCCTCCTAACCCCCTGGAGCCTCAGTTTCCTCCTTTCTAAAATGAGGCTAATGTATAATAATAGCTTCCTATCTACCTCGCGACAGTTATGAAATTAAAGAACGTGTAGGTGTACGTCTGCCACAACCGCAGGAGCAGGAGGCGGGTGCAAAGCTCCAGGTTTGGGGCAGGACAGCGGAGCACAGGCTGAGGCTGCCCCAGGAGGAAACCGCAGCCCGGCTCTGCAAACCCCAGGCCGGGGTGCCCCCGGGTGGGAGGGGCCCACCGCGGAGAAGCGCGGACCTGGGAGCCCGGGCGCCGCCCCACTCCTGGAGGTGGGCGGGCGCCGGCCGAACTCCGGACACCGCACCGGTATGAATGGGTGGGGGCCCGGCAGGGGGAGAGCCGCCCAGGGTGGGGCGGCCACGGTGGGCTCCTGGGAGCCGGGGGCGCTCCGGAGAGCTACGAGGCCAAGGAGGGTGGAGGCAGGTGCGAGGGCGGCAACGGCCACCGGACTGGACCTGAGGCGGTCGCTCTGCTGCCTTCGGGAGACCGGGCTCCTCCCGGAGATGGGGAGGTTCTCCGGGAGGTG